TTGATACTGGATTGGCACACCCAATTAGACAACCACCACGACGTATGCCAGTAGCTAAGCAACAGGAAGTGGAAAACCAAATTGATAAAATGCTTCAAGAGGGAATAATTGAAGAGTCAAATAGTCCATGGTCTGCGCCAGTAGTATTGGTTACGAAGAAAGATGGTAGTCTTAGATTTTGTGTGGACTACCGAAAGCTTAATGACGTCACCAAGAAGGACAGCTTCCCTCTCCCAAGAATAGAAGATACACTAACAACTCTATCGGGCTCCAAATGGTTTTCCACCTTGGATCTCAAAAGTGGATACTGGTAAGTGGCAATACATGACGATGACAGAGAGAAAACTGCCTTCAGTACCGGAAGCGGGCTATACCAGTTTAATGTAATGCCTTTCGGATTGTGTAATGCTCCAGCTACGTTTTAGCGACTGATGCATCTTGTTTCGCGAGGCCTTACATGGAGAACTTGCCTGGTATATTTGGATGATGTCATGATTATGGGAAATTCGTTCCAAGAACATCTCAATAACCTAAAAGAAGTTTTTGACCGCTTCCGGAATGCCAACTTGAAACTCAATCCAAATAAGTGTTTCCTATTTCAAAAGAAAGTGGAATTCTTAGGTCACGACTCACGTGGTATCTGAACAGGGGAATTAAATGTTATGGAAGGAAAAAAAGATGCTGTCAGGGATTGGCCAAAACCACGCGACAAACATGAACTAAGGAGTTTTCTAGGATTATGTTCTTATTATCGAAGATTTGTGGAAGGATTCGCCAATATAGCTGCTCCACTTCATCGATTAACAGAAGAAAAATCAACATTCAATTGGACCCAAGAATGCGATTCCGCATTTAGAAAATTGAAAGGAGCATTATGTACGAGCCCAGTATTGTCCTATCCTGATCACAAAGGCATGTTGATTTTGGACACAGATGCAAGTAACACCAGTGTTGGAGCTGTCCTTTCACAAATTCAAAATTCACAAGAACATGTCGTGGAGTACTGCAGCAGAACATTATCAAAGCTGGAACGAAATTATTGTGTCACCAGAAGAGAGTTGCTTGCCATAGTAAAGGCAGTCGACCATTTTCATAAGTATCTCTACGGACGCAAGTTTCTAATTCGAACAGATCACGCAGCTCTAAAATGGCTTTTAGAAATGAACTCCTGAAGGACAGCTTGCTAGATGGATTGAGAAATTGCAGCAATACGATTTCCAAATTAAACATCGACCTGGAAACCTGCATAAAAATGCTGACGCTCTGTCTAGACGGCCATGTAAAGAAGATTGCAAACATTGTCAAAGAATCGATATACATGAGAAAAACACTAGTCCAGCTGTAAGAAGAACGGGCCTGATCGTCGATGACAAATGGACTACCAAGCAAATGAGAGAAGATCAGGAGGCAGACCAGGACATCGGGCAAATTCTACATCTCAAAGAAAATGATGAATGTAGGCCAGAATGGGGGGAAGTGTCAAATAAAAGCTTGATTTACAAGGCGTTGTGAGCCCAGTGGAACTCTTTGGCCGTAGAAAATGGTTTGCTCAAAAGAGTTTGGGAAAGCGCCGATGGGAAATCCACTAAGAGCCAACTGGTTATCCCAAAAGACCGAGTGGAAGATGTATTAAAAGAAATATACGACGGAACCTCAGGGGCACATTTCGGAGTTAACAAGACTTTGGACAAAATTCGGGAACGTTTTTACTGGGTTCACTACCATGAAGACGTTAAAAGCTGGTGCCGAAAATGCGACATCTGTGCTATCAGTAAAGACCCTAAACTAAGATCTCGGGGGCCCATGAAACAGTACAACGTTGGTCTTCCATTTGAGAGAATAGCGATAGATGTAGCAGGACCGTTCCCAGAGTCAGAGCGTGGTAACAAATACATCTTAGTTATCATGGATTACTTCAGTAAATGGCCAGAAGTTTTCGCTATTCCCAATCAAGAAGCCATCACTGTTGCCCAGGTGCTAGTGGACGAAGTTTTTAGTCGTCATGGTGTGCCACTAGAGTTACATTCAGACCAGGGACGAAACTTCGAATCTGCCATCTTTAAGAAAGTTTGTGAGATCATGGGCATTCGTAAGACAAGGACAACACCTTTACACCGTCAGTCTGATGGCATGGTGGAACGATTCAATAAGACCATAGAGGAACACCTGACAAAAGTGGTTGCAAAGAACCAACGAGATTGGGACAAGCATTTGCCTCTATTTTTAATGGCTTACAGAGCGGCTGTTCACGATTCAACAGGTGAAAGTCCGGCTAGAATTGTTTTTGGAAGGGAACTCAGGTTACCTTGCGATCTGATGTTTGGAGTACCCGAAGAAGAACGAAGAGAAATCCGAGATTATGCCCAGTGGCGTAGCCAGTAGGGGGGCAGGGGGGGCGACGCCCCCCCCCCCCCCCCGCCCCATTATGTGCGGCGCCCCTACCGCTCTTAAAAAACAAAAGCAAAAATTAAAAAATTATAAAATTACATTCTTTCTTATTTATTTTGTTAACCTCTTCATAGTCTTCACCCTTTATTCTTGTTCGTAAGTCGTTATTGTCGGCAAATGCCTGATATTTATTTATTTTCATTTCAGTTTCTGATCTGATCTGTTCTATTCTATCTGAAAAACAATTATTATGAATTTCAATATATTTATTTGTTGATTAAACTAGAGGTTTTGGTTAATGGATTGAGTGGAGCTGTCATTCTTCCGGATTTCCCCGGATTTGTTCTAGTTCTGAAGGCGTCTGAAGCCGTCCGGGATGATTTTTTGAAGTAATCCGTGTCTAACGGCATGTCCACACATTATTTTCTTTAAGGCTTAAAATAAATGTGTTTCGCACCCGAAAAAAAATTGTTTTTGAAGGCTCAAAATAAACTTTTTTAAGCGTGACATCCGGGAAATTTTTTCGCCTCCGGCGGCGCCTGCGTCCGGCTTTTCTTCTCATATTATTTTCCCCCAATAAGCAAATTTTACAAAAGCAAACAAACAATTTATTATCCGCCCCCCCCCCCTTCCCACCTAAAAGAAAAAAAAATCGAGGCGCCCCCATATATCTTTGCACCCCCCCGCTCCGTGAGGCTGGCTACGCCACTGATTATGCCGACGAAGTAAGGGCACGACTTCTGGGTATCCATGATTTTGCTCGGGACCATATTCAACTAGCCAGTGACCGAATGAAGACCAGATACAACTTGAAAGCCAATTCGGTCGGATTTCAAGAAGGTGATTTAGTGTGGTTGTATAACCCAGCAAGGAAGAAAGGAGTATCACCGAAATTGTCTTCAGCATGGGAAGGACCCTATAGAGTAATCAAGAGGATCAATGATTTGGTTTATCGAGTCCAGCGCAACACCAGGAGTAAGATGAAAGTTGTACATCTGGACAGGTTGGCGAAATATCATGGGCGTGAAGTTGATCGGGACGATCAACCTTAAGAGGAGGGCAGTGTCACGATATCGTCCGCCAGGCTGTCAAGAATCGATGGTGAAAATACTAGAATCTAGCGAATTATTCTACTTTTATCTGGAAAATTAGATTATCGTGTGTATTCTAGATTTTACAGGAATAGAATTAGGGATATATAAGAAGGCCGGCATTGATTTGTAAGTTTAGTTTTCAGTTCGACTGTGATACGATTTAAATAGTGATTGTAAAGAGTTTAATTGTTGAGTTTGTTAATAAAGTAATTAGTGTCAGAGTGTTTTGTTAAGTGGAATAAATTATTGCTGTGTTAATTAAAGGAACAACGAACCCAAGATTTCTGTCAGGCAATCCAAAGCCGCGACAATGGTATGGCGGTTACACAGCAAACCCACTAGTTGCGTTGCTGTTTTAGAAAACAAAAACTCAACTGTTTTTAACAATAAAACTGTTCACACAGACAAAAATTAGTTGCTGTGGAGTTTTTGTTTTCTGTCGTTTTACATCAGAGAAACAGTTGCAGTTTAGTTCAATTATTCAGAAAGCAGATGGGTGTTCATTATTTTCTATTACTTATTAAAAAAAAATTAACATGGTTAGTGACGAGGAACACTTTTTTTGTCTCGTGTTCGGTTGGATGATGGTATTTGGTATTGGGTGAGATCCTTATTAAATAGAAGGAAATATGATGGTGCTATAAACACACAGCTCGCCGCAACTCAAGTTGATAACATAGCCGTTTACACCAAGCCGACGGAGTTGCAATAAACGCAGCAACTCTTTGGAGTTACCGACATCGATTGAGAAACTTAAAACAAAACAGCAACTGTTGAGCTGCCAAAAAATCTTCAGAAAATCTGCAAAAAGTTGCGGTTTTGTTTTTTTTTCAACTCGAAATGCTGTTTTGTCGATTTGGTCTAAATCGGCTTTTATATCGCATGATATACAATAAAAGTACAAAATGTCTAAATCAGTATATACCTGTGTTTTTAATATAAGAAAATAATCAAGCAAATATTTGTTGACATTTCCTATTGTTTCAGATTTAAAATTCCGGGGTTACATTATGTTTTCATCTTAGGTTTTCATTGTAAAAACGCACTGTTACAAAGTTACCCCGCATCACGGGGTAAAATTGGGACACTTTCCAATAATTTAAAAAAAGCTGAATTATTATTATTTTTAGCGAAAGAACGGATATACATGTGTGTATTTTTTTTTAGAATTTTATGTGGCAAATAAATGAAAGAAATGTTCGAGAATTTTTTGGTACCACAATGTCAACGTCTTGTACCGACGGGTGGTATTAGCAGGAGTGCAGGGTGTCTGCCTAATCATGCACTAATCATGTTCTGATTTGAACACTGCATTATAGTTATTAACAAATTAAGTGCCGGTACTTTTGCTCTCATTTGACAGCCGTTAAAAATAATCAGGGGTTTGAATGTGCTCTAACCACATCATACTTATATAGACCTTGGCCCATGCAAAACTTTGACGACGTATATCAAATTCGTTAATCGAGAGCAAAAGTATCGGCCCTAAGAACATCTAAACAAAACGATAAACTTTTTTAAATATTTAATCAGTATATTTTTAATAAAATAAAATTATTGTAACATGTAAAATACATATAATATAAATTCAGTTAACAAATGGAGTAGAAAAGATGTTCCTTTTTTTGAATTTATAAATCAAAAAAATTAACAGGATGGTCAATTGTTTTTTTAACAGCATATTGTAATTCAACTTATTCCCAATTTGATTTAGCAGTAGCTCTACATTCTGGTTCAATAATTGTTCATATGTATATGTATTGGAGACAGTTTTATCATTATGACTGTTTCAACTTACTTTGTAAAGACTTTAGCACAATTTAAAAATTTACCTAGTTTGAAAAATTTTTGCACTTCCATCATCTGAAGTAGTAAGAATCCTATTCCCATCGGAAAACGCAGTTATACTCAAAATATCACCCTTGTGTCCTGTTAAAACATCAATCAAAGTACCCGCTTTCACGTCGCAAATATAAACGGCACCATCAGTGGCACCAACAAAAACCCTATTATCAGTACCCGCTTTGAGTAAAGTCACTGCACATTCAATTCTGGCTTGATGTCTTATGGAGAATTTGCCTACTTGCCACACACATAGTTGCCCTGATAATGAGCCGGTTACAATAACACCGAGATCGTTGTTGAATAGCGCAGCTTCTATTTCAGTTTCACCTTCCAATAAAACATTTCCAATTGTGTTGCCGTCTATAAGTTTTATTACTTGAGCACCAGGAGCTGTTATAGCTAAAGTTCCATCTGAATTTATATCTATTGTGTTTACAGTGTTGTTATCAGTATTAGTCCAAGCAGCAGTACTCTCCTTTATATCCCATAACCTGATGTGTCCATTTTCGTATCCGACGAGCAATTGTTTGCCATTTGGCAGCACTTTGCCGCATGTTGTCGCTACATTGCTAGGCGTAGGTAGAACTTTGCAATTTCCTGATGGAATTTGCCAAATGTAAATGTCCCCAGACTGACAACCACATATTAGTACATTAGTCAGGGGATGCCAAGTTAGCCATTCCATGTCATCACCTTCGAAACACCAGACTAATTTTTTATCCTTGACTGACCATACCTAAAAAAAAAAGTAATTGGGTTAGAATGGTTAAATCCATCTGTAGAAAATGCCAAGTCTTGTTGATTTGCTGGTGCAAGGATAAGGAAGGGTAGTGGAAGTACCGAGGGAAGTACATATTTGTGACTCGACTACTTTTGACTGTGCTTTTTTACCTAATTTAACATATTCTCACCTGAATCATTCCAGCCATGTCTCCTGTAGCAATATATTGATCATTGTGATTAAAACCTACTTCGGTTACTGAATCTTTATGGCCAGTGCATTCAAATACAATTTCACTCGTGCTAGTATTCCACACATAAGCGTTATCGTCTTCACCACCTGTCACAGCCAATGCTTGATCCTTGCTCACCCCACTGGTAAATATGGACTTTCCATGTTTATCAAAAGTAAGTTTCGATATGTCAATTACTTCGGTTTCTATTCTTTGGTCAGCATCCATGGGCATATCATTGATGGGCACTTCGGACTCACCATCGTCGAATTCATACTCCTCTCCATCAGAATAGATTACTTCTACGTCTCCCAAATCTTCGGGTAAATCGTCAAATTCATCCATGATGTATTGAAATTTTATAGCTGAACTTGAAGTATTATGAGGTATGGATAAATGGGGATTCAAAAAATCGAAACTAAACTAATCCAAATCAAGAATCAAGTGAAAAATTGAAATGCGAAACAGGGAAACATGAAACATAACCCATAAATTTATCCAGACAGAACAACGAACAATCCTAACCTCAACTTTTTTCAAGCTTGAAGCTAGGGATGCGCACGATGTATCGATGTTTCAAAAACATCGATTTTCTTATTTTGATGTTCGATGTTTATATCGATGTTTTTTTATTCGATATTATTAGAGAACATCGATATTTTTTTGCGATGTTTTTTCGATGTTTTCTTCTAAATACTACACCAGTACTTTTAGTTCCTTAGCAAAATTTGATGAAAATCTATTTGTTGAACATTGGGAAGAAATAAAGAGTGTATATCTGCGACTATCAAAGATAGCTTCAAAATACTTGAGCGTTGTAGCAGCTTCGGTTCCATGTGAGAGACTATTTTCAAATGCAGGACAAACTTCCACACAACACGAGAATTACAAGGATAAATCGTGTATTTATTACGTGTATGTATATTATATTAAAAATACATAAGTAGGTTAAGTAAAAATGATATTCTATTTATTAACAGTTTAATGTTTTCTTACCATATTTTTAAAAACATCGATGTTTAGAAACATCGATATTTTCAAGCCGATGTTTTCACAACATCGATTGTGCATATTTGATGTATCATTTGATGTCCACATCGATGTTTTCAAAATTTTGCGCATCTCTACTTGAAGCCCAGTACACATAACTGCGAAAAGCGGATTTTTCTTTTGAAGCTTCCATGATTGCTACGCTTGACTTCGAGTACACCACGCACAAGTTCTCGTTTCCCGAAATCTTTCGCATCCTGAATCCTGAATTAGTTCCAAATTCCAAACAGTGATAGTGGGTTCTAACAAGTTCCGTTTTAAGTTCAAAATTATTTGTTGGTGTTCCCGTACAAGAATGATACACACTACTATTAGTTGTATTCCTTTCACACCTAGGAGGAACTCCGGAACAGCTCCGGGGCTTCAAGCGCTTATTCCTTTCGAAAAGTGTTTGCTGCACCACGCATCTGTTCCCTGCAAATCGGGGGCGACTAAATACCGGAGCGAGTAGCTCGAGTGCTTTAAACTCTTGGAAGGAATACAGCTACTACAGGATGGCCTATCCTCATAAGGCCTGTCATGTGTGCAAGGTTCCTAAAGTGCATAAGTTGTCTGGTAGTGGGTAACTTGATGACGCATCTAGGGTGCGTTATGGAGATTTGCATTACTTGTATTTCTTTTACACCTAGGAGGAGCTCCGGAACAGTTCCGGGGCTTTACGCCCTTATTCCTTTCGAAAAGTATTTGTTGCACCTGAGTGCTCAAGCCCGACTCAAACCATTTAAATGCATGAAAACCAGCGCATCTGTTCCTTTCAAATCGGGGTCGACTAACACCGGAGCAAGTAGCTCTAGTGTTTTAAGCTCTTGAAAGGAATACAACTATTATGTTGAGGCATACAGATGACGTCATAAAAGTTATCAAGCAACCTTGGTCTGTGGGGCCTTATTCTGTAAGGAACGAACCGTTCGATTCGGTAGAATTTCTTCGATTGTGAGGTCATTTTCGGTTTGGTTTTCGCGCTACCAAACTGAAAATGACGCCACAATCGAAGAAATCTTACCGAATCGAACGGTTCTTTCCTTACAGAATAAGGCCATTGGGTGTAACAAATCCCCCCTTTCCCCTCATGCCAAACTACCAGTTGTGACGTAGGCAGCATGTTATTTCTTGCCTTGACTTAAGCCTAGTACTCAATACTGCGAAATTCGCATTTTTTTGACATTGCGTTGACAATTTGACGTTTGATGCATGTATCAAACGTCAAATTGTCGAAGCAATGTCAAAAAAATGCGAATTTCGCAGTTATGAGTACTAGGCTTTAGGCCGTTTAAACAGCTGATGACTCAGTAATGACCAGAGGCACAGCCTCCTACACTTAACAAGCCATGAAGTTAAAAAGGCAACACCGCAATCTTACCGCCAAGTGGTGCTGGTGCTGTTTGTTTTTATAAGTATATATTTTTTATTTTGTTAATAATAATGACAAAAAATGCATCATTTATTGTACTAAAGGGTCAAAAACAGTAATTCAATGAATAATATAACTATATGTGTAAATAAGAACAGTAAATAATTGATTTAAATGAATATATTTCCAGATTCTAAAGTGTTATAAGCCTATGTTTCAGTATGTCTTTTGAAAATCTAACTTTTTCTTTCTTCGGGATTTTTTCAGAAGGCAGGTTTATTCAAATACTTGAGCTGATTTCCGAAAATAAGAGGTACTTTTAAGAGTTAGACGTTTTAGTTTGAACTCTCGAATTACTCCTTTATTCTTGTTTGTTTCAAATCTAATTATTTCGGTTTCTTCAAAATGTTCACAACACACCACAGAATTTTTCGTTATGGTATAATCTCGCCAATCTCGGGTACAATTATCTTGGTGTATTGCTTTCATCCACAACTTCTGCATTTCAGAATTTTTTTGGAAATAAATGTTTGCATTTCTTCAGGTTTTAAGGAACTCCTAGTTCGATTTGCACCCAGGAACACAGTAGTTTCATGGCATCTGGAAAAAAGTTTAAATATCTTAGGTAATATATCGAGGCCTATGCTCTTGCACAATATTAATATTGTTTTTATTGTTTTAACCTTACATTACCTTCATTTTTGCTGCTGTACCCATTTGCTGAAAATTTGCAATCAAAGCACAAAGGAACAGGTATCAACTAAATATGGGCAATATATCGGTGTGTTTCTATCCATTTTTTCGTCAATAATGCCCACAAAAATACTAAACTGCAACAATATATAATGAACGCAATACACAGAAACAATAACCTCGATATCAAAATAGCACCATACGCGACGTTGCCGTCATTTCCAACTTCATGGCTTGTAAGTGTAGGGGGCTGTGGCTATGATCATCTTGGAGCAAGGTTCCTCTCAAATAACCTTGATCTTGGAGTTAGTTCCCGACTTGATCGGAATTTCATTCGCGTTCGCGAACAAAGCTAATTGCTCCAAACGCTCCAAACAAGACTTGCTGACGGGTGGGGGTGTCGACGCAAAAGATGCATCCATGGACAGTGGCGCGGTTGCGTACGACGGACGGGACGACGGCGCGGCGAATGGCGGATGTTCTATAATGCAACATATACATGCAACGTAGCGGCTACAGCGTACTGCGGAGCGTGGTTCTCCCCTTAATTTATTTTGCTTTTGCTTTATTTTGTTTTGATTTTGAATGAATGTAATTTTCCAGCATCGTAAACAGAAACAGAAGTTTGTTGTGATTGTGGTGAATTGCCCTTAGGACTTATAAAAATGGCTTTTGAACAACAGCTAATAAAGGCTGTGAAACAGAATCCTGTTATTTATGATAAATTGGCGGATGGGTACAATAGTATGTTAGCTAGAGAGAATGTCTGGAAAGAAATTGGTGCCAAACTAGGCCAAGAAGGTAAATTGTTTCAATATTTTTTCAGATAAATAATAATAAAGATTAGAGAATTAGAAACATGCAGGGCCTCAGGGGCCAAGGTTAAGGTAGTGGCTACACACCCATCAATTATCCACAGAAAAGACAACTGTGTCTTGTATGTTTTTATGTTCGACTATAGATCTGTTTTCACAGAAATCACAAACCGTCGGAGCTAATTTCATTGGTTGAAGATAGTCAGAAAACTGGTTGTTGGCGATATGAAACTCTCTGACTGGGGTTTGTGATTTCTGTGGCTATTTCACTAGAGTGTATTACACCAGCAATAAATTCGGTATTCACCTGACAATAATGCTACCTGGACAATACCAACAACATGGTATTTCAGCGACCATTTTTTGACATTGTCAAACTGGTATTTTTAATTTGTAGTTTTTATTAATAATTTTGCATTCTATTTATTTTCAAAATCTTACGTGAAATAGTCATGACGAATACCACTCGAGAAAAAATTGTGTAGGCAAAATTGTTCTCAAGGTTTTATTCAAGTTTGTTGCTTTTCGGCAATTTCACTCATGACATTTTTGATAAAATCACTCGCCTGACGGCTCGTGATTTTGTCAAAAATGTCATTCGCGAAATTGCCAAGCAACAAACTTTCATACCTTTCAAAAATTTTGCCGACAAAATTTTTTCTCTTGTGATATTATATATGACTATTTCACTAGAGTGTATTACACCAGCAATAAATTCGGTATTCACCTGACAATAACGCTACCTGGACAATACCAACAACATGGTATTTCAGTGACCATCTTTTGACATTGTCAAACTGGTATTTTTAATTTGAAGTTTTTGTTAATAATTTTGCATTCTATTTATTTTCAAAATCTTACGTGAAATAGTCATGACGAATACCACTCGAGAAAAAATTGCGTAGGCAAAATTGTTCTCAAGGTTTTATTCCAGTTTGTTGCTTTTCAGCAATTTCACTCATGACATTTTTGATATCACTCGCCTGACGGCTCGTGATTTTGTCAAAAATGTCATTCGCGAAATTGCCAAGCAACAAACTTTCATACCTTTCATAAATTTTGCCGACAAAATTTTTTCTCTTGTGATATTATATATGATTATTCCACTCGTGCTAGAAATCCCATAAGACAAGTGACAATATTCCAAAATTACAGCGAAAATTCTTTCGCCTATTTTTAAGGTGGGTTTATACAGCACATAACATAACATAAGAAATAAGATAAAATAAGACATAACATAATATAACAAATAAGAATTTTGTGGCGTTTATACAGAAAATAACATAAGAAATAATTTCTGACCAATCAACTGGTACGTGTACTTATGTAAACTCTACCGAAAACACTATATTTGATCAAAACAATTATTAATTAATAATTAAGCAGAAACAGAAAATAAATATCGAATTCCAAAATATTACCAATAGCTGAAAACAGAATCAAAATATATTTTTTTGGTTGGAATGTTTTGTTTACTACTCCGCCTCCGCCATTACTGAAATCAAGGGAGGAGCATGCGCAGATCCGTTTTCACATAAAATAGACATAAAAGTTAAGAGTTAACCAACTTTCTTATTTCTTATGTTATGTTATGTTATTTTCTGTATAAACGCCATAAGGGGTTTCCATAAGGTCAATCAATCAATCAATCAATCAAAATATACTTTATTGTCGGAAAAATAAATTTCATTGACAAAGCATGATCTTAAATAATGTGCAAGTAATTAAAAATTATCGGGTTATAAAAAAACAATAAGAGGTACAATCAATAAAATAAAAAATAAACATAAACATAAATGTCAAAGCATAATCCTAAGCAACACATGTACAATTTTTACTACATCAAACTATAGAGTCATATAGAAGGTACAGCCAATACAGAAAAAACATAAAGGTTGCGGTCAGAACAAAACAAAACAATGAAACAAACAAAATTAAAAATTTTCATTTAAAAATTCATTAATATGATAGTAGGCTTTTCCATGTAAAAATGTTTTGAGCTCTAGTCTAAACTTTTTAAAACCACCTATCTGCCTTAAGTTAACAGGCAGATGATTAAAAATTTGCCTACTTTTATAAATTAGTGAATTTTGCGCCAATGCAGTCTTGGGTATAGGAAGCTGAATTTTAAGAAGTTGCCTAGTTGGATAAGTTCTTGGATATTCTAACTCATCATAATGTTTTTTGTGCATAAGGCAAGCAGTTTCCATGATAAATATACAGCATACTGTAAGTATTTTATGTTTTAAAAATAGTGGCTTGCAATGCTCCCAATATCCAACCTTACACAAATAGCGCACTGCTCTCTTTTGAATGACAAAAACAGAATCAAACAATTTATTAGAACAGTTACCCCAAAATGCAATGCCATACCTGATATGAGATTCAACCAACGAGAAATAAACCAACTTAGCAGTATTCAAACCAATTTCATTTGACGCTATTCTTACAGCATAGCAACCACTTGCCAATCGTTTGTTTAGATTTGTAACGCTCATTAAACTTAAGTTGAGTATCAACATAAACACCAAGAAATTTACAGCTAGTTTTATTTTCAATTGTGTGTGTGTCTAATAATAAATCATCAAAAAAAATTTAAATGTCAATATGTTGGTTTTCTTAGAGTTAAAACAAAGCAAGTTAGAGTCACACCAGCTCTTTACAAGTTTTAGGTCTTCAGAAATAATCTTTTTCAACTCTTCAATATTTTTTCCGTTCCAGGACAGAGTAATGTCATCAGCGAATGATGTTATTTTAGCTCTAATGGGGAGGTGATTAATATCATTTAAATAAAGTAAAAACAATATTGGTCCCAACACAGATCCTTGTGGGACACCATTGGTCACAGCCAAGTTTGATGACTGAGTATCACCAATCTTAACAAATTGTTCTCTTCCCGAGAAATAAGATTCAAACCATGAGTATGAGATTCCTCCGAAGCCATAAATTTCTAGTTTTTTAAGCATTATTTTATGATTTACGCAATCAAAGGCTTCAGAGAAATTACAAAACACAACGGAGACAAGCTCACTTTCATTAAGACTGACTACTGACGAATACCTGTTCCAAAAGATTAAACATTGCATCATGGGTGCCCTTTATGGTTGGAATCCAAATTGAGTGTCACTTATTATGTTGTGTTTTGAAAAATATTTCAACATTCTTTCTTTAACTAACTTTTCAACTATTTTTGACAACGTCGAGAGAAGTGATATTGGTCGATAATTACATGGGTTGTCCAAATCGCCACCCTTATAAACAGGCAACACAATAGCTTTTTTCAGGCAGTCTGGAAATACTCCTGTTAAAAATGAAATATTAATACATTCAGACAAGACATATAATGCATTATCAGGCAAGTTTCTAAGCAAATTTAATGAAACATTATCGTGCCCACTGGATTTATTGTTTTTTATTCCTCTAAAGATTTCATTAAGTTCTAATACGTTTGTAGTTTCCAGTACAAATGTGTCATTTATTTCAACATCCAATAAATAAGAACCAGGATCCACATTACTTTTCAAGTTTTGTTGTAAAGTATCAGCAACACTACAGTAGAAGTTGTTGAGAATATGGGGATCTAATTTAACATCTGTTTGAAGAACTGAGTTTTTACCAGTTAACTGATTAATTATTTTCCAGTTTTCTTTGCTGGCATTTTTGGAGGAGTTTATTCTATTCTGATAAAACTTTTCTTTAGCTGCTTTTAAAACACTTTTGTAAATTTTTCTATATCTGCAGAAATAACTTATGAACTGAGGACAATCAGTAAATTTGCGAATATTTTGTAACGAACGCATGTTTTTTGATGAAACTTTAATAGCGGGAGTAATCCAAAGTTTACTTTTCTTTTGCTTAATTTTTTGTAATGGAAAAGATTTTAAAAATGCATCAGTTACTAATTTTTGGTATTCGTTTAGTGGTGATTGACAATTCAAAACTGCTGGCCAATTTAATTCCTTGCAAATATCTTTAAATTTTTTATAATTGTTGCTGCTAAGTAGTCTACCAACTTTATATTTTGGTGGTTTATTTATCGCAAGTTGAAATTTTGCTAAAACTGCCTCGTGATCCGAAATGCCTACAGGAATTACACTACAGCTATCAAACATTTGCTTTAAGACAAAATTTGAACACAGATAATCGATTTTGGTTCGAGAATGAACAGTTATTCTAGTAGGTTCGTTAACATACATCTCTAGGTCAAATGATAAAAACAAGTTAGACAGAGTTTGCTGTGCCTCTGATCTGTCATCATCAAAATTTATATTAAGGTCTCCCCCTAGTATCAAACCTGCCTTGGGTGGCAGTTTTGATAAAAGAATTTCAAGATTTTCAAAGTATTGCTTTAAGTTTGAATAATAGGGGGGCCTGTATATACACAAAATATGTAAATTATTTTTTTTGTTATATAACAAGGAGAATTCAAAAACATTTTCAATTAAAAGGGTATTAAACTTTGTTATGGGGGTAACATCAAAAGATTGTAAAAATGTCTTATTGACAAGAATAGCAGTTCCACCATGAGTTTTACTATTTCTACAATAGAGAGACACCACAGTATAATTTTCAATACAAAATGGTTCATTTTCTGCTAGCCAGTGCTGAGTTATAAGTAAGAAAGCTGGAAAATTGTTATCTTCCAACAGCAGATATAAATCATCAAGTTTGTTCCTTAGCGATTGTATATTAATTAGAAATACGGAGACGGCGGCGTTATTATTTTTTATGTTTTGTGCCGCGCTTGCGCAGTTTGTGGAAGAGGTTGGTCTAAAAAATTTACCTCTGGAAAATTATTACCCTTTGAAATAGTGTCGTCATTAATACTAAAGATATTATCATCTATTGGGACATATTTAAGATTTGTTACGCTTTTTACATTAAAGTTCTGAACACACTGTTTTATCAATTTTCCAGTCTTAAACAATCCGTACTTATTTAAATAAAAGTTAGAATTCATACAAAAATCTCCATGAGAAAAATTAC